GTTAACTATGAAACTATGGTTGTTATGTTTTCACCCACACTGTTTTTAAACTATATCTTTCTTGTTACTGTCAGAGCATAACAAGTTGCATTACTGGGTTAAAACCTCTGGTCTAAACAAAGCTTTAGAGGAGAAAAAATGTGATTTTCAAGAAAACATGTCATTCGTTGCTTCCTTTCTCAGTAAAATGATTACAGCTCCAACAAGGTAAGCACAGGTTTAAATTTATGATTAAAACACTCTCAATGAAGCCAGTAGCAATAGCGACACGTTTACAATAAAGCTTGTGCTAAAAACAATGTTCTGACGGATTACTATATGTGTGTTACTGCACGTTGCATGCACAGGCAAATGAAACTAAAAAATTAACAAATTCCTTTATGTAGAATTTTCTTCCCTCTTTTGTGTCCCCAGGGGAAAAGAGATGTTTAAAAAAAAGATTTTTAAGAACTGTTTTTAGGTGAATAGTTTCTAATAATTTGGGATTATGCAGTTTCCAGTCTACAGATTTATTGATGCTACAAAAAAGTTGAGGAATACACAGTTCCTAGTCTGGTAAAGATAATCTCTTCTCCCTTCACTTACTGCAGATATTTACTTCCATTCTGAAGACCCCACTTGACCCAAAGCTACTGGTACACATATGCAATATGGATTGTCCACTTTGGCTTTACAATGAAAACTAGGGGGCTGATGAACTCTGGAAGATGAATTTCTCTCTTTACAAATTAATGTTGCCACACAGCAACTTCTGGGGAGGATGCTAATCTGAATATGTACCTTCATCCTTCTGCATATATGACTTTATTTCCTCATGCCATTTATGAGCTTCATCAAGAGAAATGCTCAATTCACTGACATGCTTGGTCATCATTTCTTCAGCTGAAATAAAGAAACAATAGTTTTAATACATTAAGATTATAAAATCCATCTGACAGCTAGATGGTAGTATAAAGCTATAGCCAAGTTTCCCTCTATTACCTACTTCCCTCTATTACTGGGGTCATTTGCACTGATGCAAAGTGAATCTGGATTTAAACCCTAATTTTCAAAAGCACACACTAACCCACTGACTTCTATTCAGTTGATCAAATGCAGACAGAGATTTGAAGTATTCTAGGACCATGGCATACTGGAATGCATAGGATGAATTCTTGCTTACTCAGGGCATTGGGAATACTTAGTATGAAGCTTGCCACCATGGGAGAAGATGCAGGGCCTTTTCTCCCCCCATCAAATCAGCTCTGCTAATCAATATAAAATGGGACAGGGTGACACCTGCACTCTCAGCCTGGCCCTTCTGCAGACACTGTAGGTAGAGCCCAAACTCCCTCACAACATCAGGGCCACTGAATACAGCACTTTTTTCTCATCAACTTTCTTCCCCTTCCCCAAATTTTAGAGGTGCAAACACAACATAGCCCTAAGACCATTTGCTTAATGGACATTACCATTACAGCCTTAAACATTTAGAACACTTTAGTTTCAGTAAGAAAAAAAAAAAAGTTCAGGCACATAAAGCAACTACAATATATAGATTCCTACAGCACAGGGAAGTGAAGATAACAGATATGAAGACCTTGCAGCAAAATCAATTAATAGCTTATTTAACATATGAATAATTGCACTGGATTGAAACACTATTAGTGGATGAGGATCTCATGATTAATTAACGATAGATTTATTGCAAATTCCTTTAAAACAAAAAATGGAACCAGATTCTCAGCTTGAGTAAAACCCCAAGCCTCATCACTCAATTGATTCCATGCTCACACATACACATCCCAGTTGACGACTGGTTCCTTTCTTGAATGTACTGATGTGGAAACAAATGTAAAAACATGTTCAGAACCATTAGCAAATTTTTTGCACTCAAAATGAAAATTTACAAAACTGTAACTGAAAAATCTCATTCCTTTCCCTGGTTTTGGATAAAGCTTTGCAGCAGGAAAGATTTTTTTAAAATGTTATCAACCAAAACTGCAGCAATTGGAGGACATTTGTATTTCCAGTACATATAGCAATATATTTCTTAGCCATTAGAAAGACTAAATGTATAAATTGCACTGAATATTTGCTCACTAAAATATTGGACAATAGGGGGGTGCGAAGCGGGCCCTATTCGATTCGGATTCAGCCCGAATCAGGGACAGTGATTTGATTAGTTGATTCAGATCACTGTCCCTGATTTGATTCGGCTGAATCCAAATCTGAAGATTCAATGCTGATTTGGAGAATCAGCGATTTGGCCATAGACACAGCTTTAAATGTTTTGTATACATACCTTGAGGTACCGGTGAGGCTTGTGAATGCTGTGATGTTGGGGTGAATGGAGTGTCCCACAGGAGTGAGGGGGGGGCCCCTCCACATGCTCAGCGGTGAACCCAGAAGTGGACCGGAACTACTTCCAGCCCACTTCCAGGCCTGCTGGGGAGCATGCAGGGGGGCCCCCCTGCATCCTTCCCCCCCACCCCACAGCTTGGCGATCAGCCACGGGGAAACCCTGGGTGCCCCTCCCAGACCCAGGAGGGGTCCACTTCTGTGGCTGCTGCCCAGCATGCTGGGGAGCCCCCCTGTGTTTTTGTGGGATGCTCCATGTACCCCAACATCTCAGCATTCACAAGCCGCCTGCTGCCTAGAGGTATGTAGAAAAAACATTTAAAGCTGTGTTTATGTCCGAATTGCTGAATCTTTCCGAATCGATTTGGAGGGTTCCAATTTGCTTCAGAGAGATTAAAGGGTCCTCTGATTCGATTCAGATTCGGAGATTCAGCCATCAAAATCGGGCTGAATCAAATCAGGAACTGAAGTTTCGCATAGTCCTATTGGATAAGTGTTTAAAAAAACAAACAAAAAAAAAAAACACACAAGCAGGATTTTAATACTCTTAGTTCTAAATAAAAAAAAGTGACTTTTCCTCACATAAGCTGAGATAAAATAAGCCCTGAGCATATGCAACAGACTTCATGAATATATTTTTGTCTGTACACAAAGCCTCTGCAAATGGAAAACCATTGCTATGCCTGGGATAAGTTTAAGTTTAGAAAGTATACTGGAGATCACAGTTTTATATTTACTCACAGATTTGCAAAATTCTAATTGTCCACAGCACGGTTTTTTTATGGTGCATAAGGGAAATAATGTTATTTCATTATCTGTCATCATCAGCAAGTAGATATCATGCTAAAAATTGGTAAACTGGTCTGCCAATTTTGACAGGTTAATCTATAGTTATTCCCTAGCTTCAGATTTAAAATGCTCTTTTCTTCCCAAGACAAAAAATACTCCACTATTTGTTCTTAGGTCATCCACTCACTGAATCCAAATTTTATTTTTCCATTGCCAGAGAGTTTAAAGATGGTACTTTAGGCATGTAGGAAATACTATTCATATCAAAATATTTTATCTGCCAAAATTTGTGACTGAAGGGAACTGTGTTTGGTTACTGTTAAAATGACCTTCTAGGCCTTGGCCACCCTGATGCCACCCAACAGTGGTATGAGTGCTAGTAGTATTTGAAGGGAAAACACAGACTAATCAAAGGCATCCTCATTCAACGTGCAGCCCGATTCTGACACTAAAATGTGCCGCCTTACTATTGGCAATAGTAAAGCTGCATCAGTGCTACAGCAACAGTAGGAGAAATGCTAACACATTTCAGTGTAGATGGAAGCTTAGAGATCTTCCTAGACACGCACACACTTTAGACATAACAGAAGTTGCCATGGCAGCAAAGCAACAACCTGCTCTATAGCATCCAATGACAGAAAAAATCCTTTCTAATAAAAGACATTAATTATAGAATGTAATAAATATTCATTAACCACATCCTGAATTTTAACTTCTGTGTCTCTTGCATTGCAATATGAAACCTTCAAAATATTCAAGAAACCCTGAGAACAGTGTAGGTTCTCTACAGACGGAAACAGCATGGGTCTGGCTCTCTATTCATTTTCACTAATGTAAATCAGGCATTTCAATGAAAATCAGTGCAAGGAAAAGGAGAAACAAGCTGATATTATTACTTAACAAAAATACTAAGTTCAACCATGTACTTAACCCAGATCACTAAAGAAGATGCATCTATCTATATTTTTAATCAGACGATACATAATTGTTGCAAGAAGCAAACTGGAAAGGCTATATCATATAAAAAGATATGCCATCATATCAAATACAATCTCTCTGATTTTCTGGGTTTTATTATAATTTGCTATTTCTTATTCAGTAAGTTCTTTGTAATGGCATTATGTTGGCATAATCATGACATTCTTGAACTGTAATGTTTATATCATGCTCCCATTAATTAAATAAAAACAACAACAACAACAAACAGGCTTACCCTCAGCCCAGGCTTTTCTCTCATAGATGTCTTTTACCATATCTGAAATCTTTTTAATGATTTCTTGGATCTTTCTTTTTTCCAAGCTGGAACGTTCTTTCCAAGCCAAGTTGGTCCAACTGTCTTCTTCGATGGCAGCTATTATACTCCGTCCAAAACATATATTTTGATCCACACTGCTTCTGAAAAACTTGAAATAGTCCTTGTAGGCTACATATTTATTTTTGTGCTCATCCGTGCTGCTATGCCTTTCGTAAGTCCCAGTGGCTACAAAAGCTGCATTTCTTTCTTCATTCTCCTCCTTTTTCACCTCAACACTTTCTGTTGGTGTCACAGCCTCAGAGGTCTCAATCTCCAAGTTTTCTGTCTGGCTAAAGTAGTTTTCAGAACTCTGGATGAATTTAATTCCACAAAGGTCACATTGCGTTCGGTCAATATCTGCTTTTTTAAAGATCCCCGAAACCAATTCTTCCATTTCCACTCCAGTAAGCTCTGGCTTAGAACAGGATTTCCTTCTCCATTTTACATAACAATACCCTAAAAAAAACACCTTAAACAACTTCCGCTCTGCAGACGCTTTCTGCTGTTGCTTCTGCTGCTTTATGCATGCTATGGCTGTTAGGGGATCTTCCCGCTCTTCCATAGAGAGATCACTTTCAAATTCCATTTCTGACTCTTTAGAGTATTCTACAGGATGCCAGGAGGATACAAATCTTTCTGGGTTTACCTGCTCGTAAAAGATGCCCCGTACACTACTAGTCCCTTTGTAATACGGCGAGTCCCACCTCCATCGACAGTTGACCAAGAACTCGCCATCTCGTTCAGTCAGCAGCTCCTGAAGGCCTTCTGCTATCTCTCTCACTTGTGAGGTATTACTCACTTTCTCCACAATCTTAACCAATCTTTCAGGCACTTTGGAAGGAGACCGTCTTTTCATACTTATCAGTTTATCCTTAATTGTAAGAAAGTGAGTGTGAAAAAGGGATTTAGATTTAATATTGAGCACTTGATCAGCATTCACCAATATCACTAAGCACAACACCAGAGTACGCTCAGCTTCCCCTGACATTACATAATCAGGGTCCCCGAAAGCATCCACAAAGACATTGAAGTCTTTGCTTTGAGCTCCACACAAAACTTCTGCCACATAACTGAGATGGAATTTGAACTGCCTGACAGCTTTGTTTATGTCCTTTGGTCTGTAGTCCTGGATAATAGAAAAGGTGTCTCTGACCTCTTTGTGTTGGTCTTTTTTAATTCTGAACAAAAACTCCCAATAATGAAGGAGAGCAAGGTAACTCTTTGGAAGGCACAAATTAACATCCTTGCAAAGGCGCATCAGGACAGCACAACAGAGGATATACTGGAATTCTAGCAGCATCACTGTATTTCCTATGCTTGGAATCAGAGGATCAATGCATTTCTTGACCAGGACATTCATAAAACGGAAAAACAACCATTTACATTCTTCTGGATTTTTGTTAACATACAGCTGGTCCAGTGAGTTTTGAAGAAGTCGAATGAAACACAAGTGTATGTTTTCTGCATTTTCAGCATTTTTGTTAGGCTGCAACATCCCAGCTCTGCCCTGTATTCCCTTGGGTTTTTTCCCTCTGCTTTTCTCCTTTTCATAAGCCTTTAGTTCTTTGTTATAATCTTCTTCCTCCCTACTAAGAAACTTCTCAAATTCTTCAGGGTAGCTGGAGGACAAGATGAAAACTTGCATGGCACTAAGCAACAAGTCGGTAGATTCTCTTCTGTTTACAGCACTTTCATTTTTAAACTTAAATGTGATGTATTCCTTCAACACCATTTTAAAGTACTTAGAAACATTGGACAAAGGTCCCAAGATTTCTCTGCATGCCATTGGATTTTCTGACACCACTCTAAGATGGAAATGCTGAGGGAAGACAATATTTATGAGGGATTTGCACAATGCATATCTATCGGCAGTCAAAAGTTCATCAATACCTTTACTTTCATGAAGCAGTTCTTTTGGAAAAACCTTCTTGGCTCGTAAGAGCAGTCCATTTATCACTGCCAAGTCTATTTTACACCGAAATATAGACTTCGCCTCATGACGCAAGAAAGGTCGATGGAAGCCTTCACATGTTTTATCTTCACAATCCAAGCCGGCAATGAACTTCAAACAAATATCAGGGTAATTTCGTCCAAGAACGCTGTGTGTAATCAAACACAATCTGCTTAACAAGTGTTTCTTCAGTGCAGACTTCACCTCTGCTATGCCTACCACAAAGTGATCTTTCATTTTTTTCCCTTTCAGACAGGGATTATCTGACAAAATCTGCACAATGTGTCCGCCTTCATTTTGGGACACCTGGCAAAGATCGCCATCTACTGGCAAGACCCCAAAATAATCAAAACACGACTTGACCATTTCTTTCTCAGCATTGGTAGTTGCTTTCTGTAAAGCTTCAACCAAGTCTAGAAGAGCCTCTAACCCATATTTTGCAAGACACAAGATAGATCTGCTTTCTGCTTCACAGTGGGTTAATTCAAAGAGAGCTTCCACCGTACCGGCATAGTGAAGCAAAGAGTGGTACTTGTAGAAAGCATCTTTAAGCCTTGTAAAATCTTTCTTTAGCACTCCCTGGAGAAAGATTGCTTCAGCAATTCCAGATGTCTGGTTGGTTTGTTTACACAGCTCTAAGGCTTCTTCTAAGACAGACTCTCTATTTTCCAATTCTGAATGCCCCAAGACACTGAGACGGGCTGCCATAAGCAGACACGATGCCCGAAATTCCTTCTTGGTAGTGAGCTTGGCTGCTTCCAACACAAACCCATGTTGCTTCATCAGATTAGCAGCCTCTTCCTCTCGACCCTCCCTCTTCAACAGGTCTGCTGCTTGGGCCAAGCATTTGTGGGATTTCAAGAACACAAGCTGGACTTCTGTGCCAAGCCTGGAGAGGACTCTCATCATGTCTTTGGTTTTGTTTGCAGTCAAGTACTTAGAAGCAGCCGCCAAGTACAACTCATTTGATGAGATGGAGAGGTGTGTCCTTAGTATCTCTTCATACCTGAAATGAACACAGCTGCGATTAAAACTAAAAATCACCAGGTGTGATTAAAGTAAAGCACAACATACTATTTACAAAAAAGAAAGAAAAGGATCCTGGTTATATTAACAAGGTAAATAAGGCAACTTCAACCATGTTCTTCCTTCAAAAAGGCCAAAAATACTTCTCAAACTGACAATAAGAATGTGGGGTCTCTTTGATATCTGAAAAAACAATCATATTCTAAAAAGACCTAAAATATAGCTTTATTACAAGGTAAGCCTGTCTGAAACAAAATTCAGAAGAGAAACAAGATCAGAAGGTCAAAACATTAGGGAATCTTATTTATTTATGGAATTTATCTGCCACCCTTCCCAACAAAGGTATAGGGTGGCTTTTAGTAAGAAAAGAGAAAAACTTCAGAAGGGAAACTACAATATTGAAATAAAAAATAAATGGCCACTAAACATCATCTCAGCCTAGCTTTGTTGCCCAAATAGGAAGGTCTCGCAGCACTTCTAAAAGATGTCCAGGCTCAGGCTCTGGTGGATCTTGTACTGAGGGAGTTCCAGAGCTGGGGAGCTGAAACTGCCGAGAATGGACTTCTCAAATGTTTTCACTAAGTAGACTTAATGTATCTATGGTACTTGCAAGAGGTTGCTCTCAGCTGACTTTAAGAGATCATGATGGGAGTGTAGGAGACAGCGGACCCTTTGGTACGTAGAGCCAAGGGTGTTTAAGCTTTTATACGTCTTATCTTGGTCCATGCTACTTTACTTCCATTTTAACATAGTTTTTTAGTTTTAAAGTAATGAAAAATTATACTGACTTGGTAAATAGCGGAAAAAGCCTACAACAGTAACAGACTACTTTATGGTACAAGAACTACATATATGCTACAGCACTGTATCTGTAAACACCCTCTTTCACCCATTGTTGCTTCCTGAGTGGCAGAACAAAGCATGCATTTCCTTCTTTTTTAAACTTTAGTTCTGGTATTCACTTAATGGTTAATTACCATTGTATGATGTCAATAAATTATTAAAACTTCTTTCTTAGCCAAACTTTAGCCTTGCAAAAGAAAAAAAAGTCTTTCCTCCTACACATTGAGGGTGAGTAATATTTTTTGACAGGTGAGTAAATTACCCTTAGCCTTTCATTATCTTTTCATGGTAAAAATGGGGGAGTAGATTTTGTGCCTGGGATGGTAAATTTGCATGGATGATTTTGCAGGGCTGATTTAAAGAAAAAACAAAGCATGGTATGTTAGAAGTAATTTTAATACCTGTACTTTAATTAAATTATTTCTATCTATTTAAAAATGTTCCCAAATATAGTGATGATCTCAAATAAATCACTTTGTTATTCATGTTACAAAAGATGTCATAGGTCGTATCTCATATTTCCTGGAGTTTGTCAATGTACTATGTTGTTTATGGAACATGAAGATCCATTATTCCAATGCTCTCAACATTTTTTGTTACATATTTTACCATGAAATTTTAAAAATAAACTGAAAAAAGAATATTATAGGCAGGGTCTGATTCCCCATATATTTTACTGTGATGTGCTATGAACACATGGGAAAAATGTATTATTATGATAGCTACAACCAAAAACCTAGCCTATGTTGGTCTAAGGACATAGGCAGGCAAGGTTCTTTGAGTAGGTGTCATATCTTTTATTAGACCAACTGAGTAGTTGGGAACAAAGTTCTTGGCAAGCTTTTGGGCGCAGTCACCCTTCTTCAGGCATAGGGAGTCTCTGGTGTTCTGAGACTCCAAACAAAAAACAAACCAGCAGAGACTTCCTATGCCTGAAGAAGGGTGACGGCGCCCGAAAGCTTGCCAAGAACCTTTTTCCAACTGCTCAGTTGGTCTAATAAAAGATATCACATCTACACAAAGAACCTTGCCTGCCTTTTAACAATAGGGATGGGTACTGTTGCCCAGTACCATTACCCATTACTCAGTTGCCTAGAATTTCTTCCCATTTTCCAATCCTCTTTTCAGCTGATTATAACAATGCTAATCCTTAAACAGCTGACTTTAATTGAATATTTCAGCTAAAATGGATCGGTCATTTCCAAGAATGAGGGCAAGGGAAATAAATATGCTGTTTTCCCCAAGTTCAAACACTCTAGGAACCTTTTATTTGGGAAGTCCCAGTGTGCTGTGCTTTGAGGACCTGAAACGTGAGAGAAGGGTAGGCGTTTGTGGAGGAAGCATGTCTCTCCCTTAAAAATATATGTGCAAATTTGGTCAAGATACAGAAACTGAGACATTTGCATATACTCAGCAGCAACTTCTCTGACTATAGCAGATACAATCGCCAGAAGCCCTGTCATTAATAAGCACGTGTCAGTCTGTTGCTGAATAGGTTTTTCCCTGCAGCTGCAGTTCTACATTCCTGCAGGCCATGCTGGTCAAATGTCAAAGACTTGCCATTTTGCAATCCTGTTTTCAGTTGATTATAAACTGTGCTAATTAACTGAATCAAAGATGTGACAGCATCTCTTTTATGCCCCTGATGATTGCAGGCACCTTGGAGGAGGAAACTACCAGAAATGCAGAGAGGACAAGCGAGAGGGATGGAGACAGTAAACTGATAAGAAATCTAGTGGGAGGCAGTGACTGGGAGTGGGAGGGCAAATATGAAGTAGGGCAGTTGTTCTAAACATTTCTAGACTTGAGGCACTTCTCAGAAAGTGCCAGCTCTTAGTTTTCATTCTTTTTTTGACTCACGAAAAATAATAGAGCAATTCTTCTGTGGCAAAGAATTCAGAAAGATGCCAACTGGTCAGACTGTTTCCTGACACTACCAAGTCCTATTTGAAATCTCTGGGTTTCTCTTGTGAACAATGTTTGCACACCTAACAAAACTAACATTGGATAGCACCCTCCAGTGCTCAAAAGCAACTCAAGGCACTCTAGAGTGCCACAGCACTGTGACTCAGAATTGGTGAACTAGGATGAGAAGGAGAGATGGCTGGGGGATGATGGCTGGGACTGGCTGGAAAGGAGAGCAGTATTGGAAATGTAGGACAGAAAGGGAACAAGGACTAGAAACCAGTAGGCAGTAAGGGAAAATGGGACTGTCCAAGCAAAGACACTGGGACAATTAGCTTGGGAGGGACATGAAACACTAAGATTGGATAAGGAGCTTGGAGAAGATGATATGTAATCAGTGAGAAAGGGAATGCTGGCTGGACCTGCCAACTGGAGGCTGGGGGAGGGGGGATAAATTGGATGAGGAGCCAGAATAGGGAGGGGGGACCTGCATACAGAAGTATTGAAAGAGATGGGGATGAGTAACTTAAAAAGTGGAAACTGGGACTGGATAAATGTAAACAACAACTGTGGAGAGAAGAAAGAAGCAAATTAAAAAAAAAAATGGGGTCAGGGAAGACCACAAAGAGGGCAGGGCATTCTGGGTTCCTCTTGGGGGGGAACAAGTAGAAGCGTCTGTACCTGCCAGAGCATATGTACCTCCAGAGCTTGGAACTGAATCTCAAAATCTTGCTACTCCACTACTGCCAGCAAGTATCTGGAATCTAAAGCACCTGAGCCCTCTCAAGTGCTGATCCATACAGAAGGCAACAACAATTTGCCATTGGTATCTGTTACAATGCCAGGTCAACTGGCAAAGATACATGCAGTGGATCCAAAGGGTACAAAACTTGCCTGTGGACTAGTTAATGGCAATGTTAACATAGTATACCGTAACAGAATTTAATTTGGCTTTTCCTTTAAAAAAATATATATATATAATAAATAAATAAATAAAAGCTTAGGAAGTTCATAAAACAAAAGCAACATCAAAAATACATTGTTAGGGATGTGAAGTCAAATCACTCAAACATTAGGATATGCCAGAACTAATGCTTGCGCCTGTGTAATTTTAATTTGGGTACTTTGTGCATGTGAATTAGGTTTTTAGGGAATATTATATATTATTTGGAGCCATCCTTGGAAATAATGCACAAGAGAGCACCTCCATGTCTATCCTGTGCTTTAAAAAAGTTATCAAATCATTCACATAGTAAGCATATTAAGATATTCTGCCTAGTGGATTAGACATTATGCAATTCAAACATCAAAATCTCTCACAGAAGTCCACAAACACTGATGAAATAAATGGCAGGTTCCCAAAGCTACTATTTCCCTGAACCCTGTGCTGAAGTTTACCTTAGTTGAGAAAATCACTATGTGAAAAACTATAGGTCTGACATCCTTTTATTACAGTTAAAGCTTTGGGCCATCTTCTTTGTCATTTTCTCATTATCAGAAGTGATGGCAGGAATTCTGATGAATCGAATGAACATGCTACTCATGTAAAAAGTGTCACCAGCATAAACTTTTGGCAAATCTACATGGAGCTCGCCTTATTACACTGAAGTCAAACAACTGATGTAGGCATTTTCTGTGCATCACTGTCTTAAAAGGACATACGTACCTTTCTGCTGCATTTCCTGCTTCCTCATAAAGGCCCTCCTGGAAAAACATCTGAAGTGCTAGTTCAAACTCCTGCATTTGTTCATAACATCTGGCCGCCTCTTTATAGCAGTGGCTTTTTTTATAGAAATAGGCAGCTTCTTTTATCTATGGCATAAAATTCTTATTAATATGAAATCTCCTAAATATTCAAACAGCAACAGAACAAACACAGTATTTTCATTTATACAGAAAGAGAGACAGAGAAAAACAAAGTCTTCCACTACCACTTCTGCTGAATATCATTCCCACACAATAGACAATATCAAGATGTAAGGTGTTAAACTTCCCTCCTTTTACAACTATTGTGATCTACAATGTTTCCTGGAACCAACTGAAAAAATACTGTACTTTATTTATGACCATCAACACAACATGGGGGGGGCTGGGGGAAACCTTATGAAAAATGTTTTGCATGGGTAAACAATGTTTAAAGGTGTCTAAACAGGTATAAGAATTTAATTAAGAGAGAATGACAGTCCTCTAAAAGAAAAAAAGGAAGAAGAGCATTTAGTACCTTTCCTAATTTTTTACATAGTTCTGAACAAAGCTGAAATTCTTTGGCGTAAGTCAGACATTTCAGTGATAATTTTGGTTCTCCGCATTCCAAATAGGTTTTAGCCAAGGACATATATTCCATCTGTTTTTCCCTGTCCAAAAAAAAAAAAAGTTTATTTGTGCATATATGATGTTCCAAGTCAAATTCAGGAATACAGGATGAGAAAGGCCTCTTAGTCACTGAGTCCAGCTGCCTGCAAGGGCAAGCAACTAGAACAAGTATTCTTGTTCACGGGGGGTGGGAAATATCAAGCTCCATCTTATGCTTAGTTAGGATGTTCATCATTACTCCTCCTACTGGAAAATGCTGTTCTAGAATCTCGCTGCTTTGAGGGTTAGACTCCCTATTCTAATTTCCAGACTAAATTTGTTCATGGCAAGTTTATACACATTTGTTCTTGTGCTAACATTGTGCTTTTAGCTTAAATGATTCTTTTCCGTCCCAGGCATTTACCTTTGGGTGCATTTATATAGAGCAAATATATTCCTTCTCAGTTTTTGTTTTGCTAGCCTTAACAAGCCACGCTCTTTTAGTTTCCTGTCACAATAGGCTCTATTTCCTTGATCTTAGAAGGCCTTTACTGAATGCATTCCAGGTTGAATTCGCCTTTCTTGGACATAGATGACCAAAATACAAAAAACAGCATTTCATGTACAAATGGCATTAATATTTCCCCTTCTTTACTGAAAACACTTCTGAAACCTTCTCAGATTAGCAGTGTCCAACTGTCCATTTCAACTTAATGATACCTCTCTACTGCCCTACTAGGGAGCCAAGGATTACTTTAGTAACATCTTCTGTGCCCAAACCTGAAGCAACCTTAATGCCTTTTGTAAAGCAGGGGGCTGCTGCCTGAACCACTTTTTTTTAACTATTTTAAACTACAGAAGAACTTAATTTGCATTTCTTCAGTCAGATGGTACAGCCCCCTGACTTGGCTTGATACTGAGGAGGGAGACTACCTGGTCCCCTGACTTAAGCCAGGGGTAGGTAGTTGATGGGCCACTTAAGTTTTGGTGAGCTATTGAGGGCCACACACAAAATCTTTCAGAAGGTATCATTGTAACAAATTATAGGTAAAAAATAAATCATATACTAAAAATTAAACATCTACTATGGCATGTTTTAATTTTATTTAAAAAAATATTTTTGACCGATTTATGTTTTGTGAGTAGCGTATCTAGTGACTGCATAATAGCTCAAAATAAAAGTCTTACTGTTGTATATTGTGTGAGGAGGGGTGGGGGGTGCGGGGGGAAGCAAGTGCGTGCATGTAAGGGAGAGCTACCTATGCGCAAAGTCCTAGGAGCTGGCCAGGACTGAAGGGATGGAGGGAGAGAGGACTGGGGACACATGCAGCAGAACTTGCCCGGGTGGTCCAATGCAGGTGCACTCTGCCACTCCCCCATCTGGCCCATGGGTGCCCCTGTAATGCTCTGTATGGTGCCAAACCCTGCCCACTCCCAGCTGGGGCATCCCATGCTGCCCTCCTACCCACCCTACATTGGCCACCAGCACCACCCCAGCCCCAGCCAGTGTGTACAGCTTCCTGGCAGGGCTGCCATCCCCTCAGTCAGCAGCCCACAGGTAGCTAGCTGCTCATCGTGCTGGGTGGACAGAGCAGGTGGAAGGCAGCTGGAGCTGGAGCTGGAGCCCTATGCACCGAAGCAGGAGCCAGCCAACTGCAGCTTCCACACCCTGACGCCTGGCTGGGCATGTGGCATCTGGCACATTCTCCCACAGCTGCCACCACTTCTCCATGTTACCTGCTGCCCAGAGTGGCACAGCAGAGGCAGGAGAAGCAGCCGAGCCATACCCGGGTAGCTGCTGGGAAGTTGTGTATGGCCAAGGCCAGGGCGATGCCAGGTGGTGGGGGCTGCCCCAGGCAGGAGTGGGCAGGGCTTTCCCCCATGCAGAGCCCTATGGGGGCAGCCACAAGCTGAATATAATCAATTGGTGTTATGGATCTGGTCCAAGGGCTGTAGTTTGTCCACCCCTGTGTTAATAAGCTCATGAGGTTTGCTTCCACCTTGAATGTGGTATTTACTAATACTATATCCTCTTTCTCCATCACTCATTCTGCCCTGTCCCTCATTTCATCCTTCTCCTCTTTCATGGAAGCTGAGACTAAGTATTCATTTAGTTTTGGATCATACTTCAATCCACTAGTTTATTAGACAGCTCTCCTCTGAGATGGACCCATGAATTCTCGCTCAGCAAAAGGGGAGTGTTTTCTGCCCCAATCAGAATAGAACTGCCTTCTGGGATTGAACAAGGCTTCCCCTTCATCACAATGTGTGCATCTCCTTGGGTGAAATAGGGTTGTTATCCTAATGCAAGGCAAGCATTTTTTGTCTGGTTATGTTGTCAGCATTTCTTTAGACATCTTAGAACCAGAACGGATCTGAGGCTTAGTGTTTCTTGGAATACGTACAAAAAGCTGCTACTTATTTAAATTTATATATCTCAGTACTTACTTGGGGCTGCTTTTCTTTGATTGCACGTTAAGTACAGCGTCATGAGCCAATGCCAATTTCTCTTTCGCATCTGCTCCTCCCTTTTGGTAACATTTGGCTGCCACCTGATGTCGGATAACAGGTTACGTTCATTAGTGCACCACGCTCATGATTTCTTAAGTATTTACAAAATTACTTGACAAAGCCTCTATTTAAGCAGCACTTACTCCTAATTTTACAACCCCATCCATGACAAACATCAAGACCAATATGGGAAATGAAGGAAAGGAAAGGAAAGAGTTTGAGCACATATGAATATACAAAAGTGCCTTTGAAGTATGTCCTCATGCAAAATTTCAGCTATTTTTTATATAGATCAGCGGTTCCCAAACTCTGACAGATTGTGTACCACCAACTTTAAAATAACAACCTTAAGAACCACCAGCAAATTTTGGTGAGATAAAGTAATTATAATAAGTCTGCTAATGCTTACCACTGACAGGTTGTCTGCATACCACTGGTGGTAACTGTACCACAGATTGGGAGCTGCTGATATAGACAACTGACTTAGAATTAGTGAAAGCAGAATTCTGGATAGACTGGCAGAGCAAACAATCGTTTCTATCACATCAGACTTGAGAGGGTTAGCTTGCATATCAAAGGAACAAGCCATATAATTTCCATCACTGGAAATCAGTTAATTCTTGCATGTTCTTTTTTGCTTTCATGGGCCTTGGTCTAGATTCAGATGTTCTGCATTTAGACCAATATAGTTCCAATATCCAAAAATCATATCACACATGGCATATACTGCACTGCAGCTTTTAGAACCCAGTTCTCCAAGCATTTAAGCTGAGCACAAAATAACTGAGAACAAGACAAATACACATTCTTTAGAACTTGCATCACTAGTTAGATCACAGCAAGCTGAAAACAACACCGATCAGTGCACAGTTAAATTGTAGAACTAAAAATATTTGTTTATTTGTATCATGCACCAGTACCATTGCACATTTTCAGACAGAGACAAAACATGTTTTATCAGCCTCTTCACAATCACACCAACAACTCTGCAACAGTGTACCCGTTTTATTGCACCAGTATACTACTCCATTTGTCAGCATCCTTTACAGAGCAAAGCAGACCAGACCAGTCCTGCCTTTACAAAAGCCTTATTTTATTGCCAAAAATATTTTTCTTGTTTTATGCCATTTATTTGTGGAAAAGATGCATTAAATGTAGGACCAAAGATTAGAAAAAAGTGTATGGTAAATTAAAAATAAAATGTAGTTCACATTAAAACAACAAATAATTTCTGTTCTTCCTGCAAGAGGGAGAGGCAGAGTTGGAGACATTTTCTAATTTATTCTAGTTCATGTTTAAATAAAAAAAAAAAGTCTTACAGCTCTTTGCTGGAACTCCAGAAAGCCGCTGAATATTTTAATTTGCTTTACTCATTCTCCATCTTAAGACCCTAATGTTGTATCCAAACAAACAGAGAGCTCTTTAACTCTTAACTCTAATTTCTCACTGGTTAAAGACATCACTGTTTGATACAAGGCAATCTGTTCCTTTCCAGAACACTTGGTTTTTACTGATCTAGGAAGCAGACACTTCTGTTTCATTTTCTGACTTGCACAGCAGGAACAGATCATCATAAGTTCTTGCTTTCCTATAAATGTTTCTCTAATAAAAGGAGAAGACTAACATAAATCATGAAAGACATTGCATCATTCTGATATCTGTCATAGGAATTAATTTTGATACCAGCTTGTTTCAGAAATATTCAGAACATAAGCCAGTGATTCTCACTCAACCAGGGTGCTGTTGCACCCTGGGGTGCCTTGAAATCCTTTTAAGGGTACCATCAATGCCATGCAATGTTAGCAACACTGGATGTGAAAATATGATTCACAAGATAACCCAGAGATTTTAAATAAGAATCTGTGGTATTAGAACACTTGGACTTGTTGTGCCCAAGTTATTTACAACAGAAGAATTGCTCTATTTTGCAGAAAAATTTAAAAAAAGGAGGGAAAAGTAATACTTAACATTTTTTTTTAGATTCAACGTACCCCTCAGAAAAGGTTGAGAACCACTGATCTAAGCCCTATTAACTGGCCCAGCAGTCAAAATTTGGATCATACTAGTCAGCAATCTAGTATAAAAGAATTCAAAAACTGAGTTTGTCCAAAATGACCTTTTGAATAAAATCATACACACTAAAGGATAGGATAGAAGACTATTAATTTCATTTTTGCATAGAAATTTCTTGCTGCATTAAATCCCTTTGGTCTCAGGATACAATTGCTAGAAAGAAAAATAATTAGGCCCCCTCTACACATGCAGCTAAAAGGTGAAATGGGATCCAACACATGATCTACACAATTGCACCTGCTGCCATGCTACACGTGCATGGCTGCAGGTGCAATTGTTGGAATATGCATTAGAGCCCATCACGCTTTATTGTTGCTGGTGGAGGGGGGGCGGGAAATCCTGGGTTGCTCCTACACATGTAAGAAGCAAGGTCCTGTGGCTGGGAACTCCCTCACCTGACCCATAAATCAGCAGCTGCTGGGGCTGAAAGTCCCCCTCAGTTGAGAGACTCCTAGCCACAGGTCTGGTGCACCCATGCAGCTGGGAGCCATGTTAGATGACAGGGCTCCCAACCGCAGGGGAGATCCTGCTAGACATGCAAATTAAAGCTTGCTAGCAAATAGCTATAAAGTTAGTACACATCTCAAGATCTAACTTTATAGCTGGTTGGAGCTTTATATGCCAGGATAAGTACTTTGGTTGTATAGCTGGAATCAAGGTAATTGTGCAATTAACCAGGTAATCGCGCAATACCTGTAGTGTGTAAAGGGGGGCTTACAGACAAGTAAAAAACTACTGTACACAGAGACCTTAGGAGGTTCTAGGCTTATCATCCAAAGCGCTCTGCTTCCAGAACCTTGACTGTCTGACTTAGAAGACCATGTAAGGAAATAAAATTCTACATGGATCAAGATCCCAAGTACTAATTCATTCATATATTTGTTACTGTAAACAGAACCAAGTGATTTTACAGAGAGAACAGGATCTCCATACAGAAAAATACCTGACATCTCATGAGACAAACACATGTTTTTACCTTCCAACACTGATGTTTGGCATAATATTCTCCTTGTGCAATCCATTCTTTTGGAGTTGAAGTTTTAACAAACATGTTATCATCTAAATCTAGAAAAGAGAGAAGAAGGATATTTTCAAATACCTGAAGGACAGTTATAAAGAGGATAGAGAGAGATTATTCTGTTGCCATAGGGGACAGGACTAGGAGCAATGGCCTCGAGCTGCAGTAGATTAAATTTAGGCTGGAGATTAGGAAGAACTTTCTGATTATGAGGGTGGTCAAGCACTGGAACAGGCTACCTAGAGCGGTTGTAGCATCTCCATCTATGGAAATGTCAAGAGCAGGTAAAATCTTAAGTGTCAGCCAAATCTTAAGGAAGAATAATTTTTGAGTTAGTGCTGTGGTATAAGAGGACGTATTTAATGTATTTCAAAAGTAATCATTATACTTCTCTCATATACCAAGTTGTCCTGATTTGATACTATCAACTGGCACGGGCACAAGGGGTGGATGAGATTTTCCACCATTTTATTAGCATTTAATGCTGATGATTTGTTTGGTTTCAGACAGCCTTTAAAAACTATACTTGCTACAAAGATAAGAGCAACTTCACTGTTCCTTCATAACATATATGCTCTCTATGTCTGACTTAAAAAATAACAACAAGCAAAACTGCCACTGGAATCAAACAGAAGTTTATAGGTGTAACAACTGAGTGAAACCAGCTAAGGACTTCATTTTTAATGCACATCATTTGAGGCAACACCTAAAGCCAACCACTTTTTTCATATTATTTAAAAGCAAGCAAACAAAAAAAAAAGGGACATTTGTGGGGAACAAAAGAAGGAAGGGTTACCTCATTTAAAATGAACTATAGTAAAACACAGAATGACTCGTCTTGCCCTGAGGGGTTTTTTTGTAGAATGTTTTGAGAAAAGCTTTACCTTTGTTTTCATCTGTTTTGACAACCTGAACAAATTCTCTTCTGATGAAATACTTAAAAGCTGGATCCCGTTTATCTCGGTTTTCATCGAAGATCCACAAATTGACCCTGGCTCTTGTAATGGCAGTATACAACTGTTTCAATTCTCCATTAAGCATCTGGAGCACAGTGATTAAGACAATAAAATAAGTGATATCATCTAGAAATGCTATGACTTCACTGTAAACAGAAATCTGATGGGCACATTTAAGCCAATTAGGCACAGCATCTTAAGATAATTGACTAAATATTTTGCTACTATAAAAATTGACAGTTGGGTATGTAAAATGCAAAAAAAGTGCAATCACATATTGAAATGTATGTCCAATTACTGCTACTGCAAAGCAGTAACCCACACATACAAATGACCAATAATGTGTATAACCATTTAAATGTTAACACACTTTTCTGCATGCACATTCATAAGTCAAAGCAAAACTAAATTCTATATACAAACAAAAATTAATACCAGGGGTGGCACACCTTAATAGCTAACTTTGGGATTTTTGTATGAAAATATGAAATACTATGATCTTGACTAGAAATGCAATTTATTAGGATGCTCACTTAGATTTTACTAGCAACCTTCTTGAACTTTCAAACTGTTCATAGACATTAGGGCTGGAAGGGACCTTGGAAGATCATCGAGTCCAGCCCCCCACCTGAAGGGCAGAAAGTCAGCTGGGGTCATACAATCCCAGCAAGATAAGCATCCAATTTGCTTTTGAAGGTGTTCAATGTAGGTGCTTGAACCACCTCCGATGGCAAGCTGTTCCAGACCTAGGGGGCTCGGACAGTAAAGAAATTCTTCCTTATGTCCAGCCTGAAACAGTCTTGCAGTAGTTTATGACCGTTCGACCTCATCATCCCTTGGGGCGCTCTGGTGAACAAATGTTCCCCCAGATACTGGTGGTCACCCCTGATAAACTTATAGGTGGCCATCAGATCACCCCTGAGCCTGCGTTTTTCCAAGCTAAAGAGCCCCATGGCTCTCAGCCTGTCATCGTAAGGTCTGCTTTCCTGACCTCTGATCATGC